GTGTAGCATCAACCCTGCAGATTTATGGAACAATGAACCTGCAAGTTTCAATGGAGGGGGGGAGTTAAACTCACTTGGATGATTCAGAGACTTGAAGCTGAGGTCTTGGCACCAAGATTACCATGACTACCGACGTTGTGCTTGCATCTGCTAAATGAAACAAGGCTGCTTTCGCTTTGACCTGCAGTTAATGGTCAGCTATAGAATTCTATTTCACGAAGAGCTATAAGAGCACTATGGTAAAGAAAAAAAGTTGGTTTACACCACAAAACAACAACAAAAAACCATATAACGCAGCTTGTCTGTTCTTTGAAAGCCCCTCAGACAGGAATGGGGATCCTGCAAACATTTGGTTAGCAGGATGAGTTGGGTTGGCGTGGGGGGGTCCGGTTGGCGAGATGGTTCTTTCCTCGCCTTCCACCTCGGCGGTCCGGGTTCGATTCCCGACTCAGTCATATGTGGATTGGGTTTTCAGTCCCTACCTGATTTCGTGGTTTTACCTAGAATATTCCTCTGGGGTTTTCCTCCCACCTCTAAAACTGAGACTACTTCTCATTGTGACCTCATTACAGGTTTCTTCAGCCTTGCGGACTACAGTGCCTAGGGCACTTTTTAGGAATCCTTGGTGTCATTACCAGAAATGATTAATAATAATATCAGTGTCCGTGGTGTTTCATTGTGCCTCAACAAATACAAGACAAAGAGAAATCAGATGGGTTTGGTCTTAGCAGTGGCAATGCATTCTCCTACAAGTGTTCATGTTATAGTGAATCCTGGTATCTCGAGATTGGTAACCGGGACTTGGAATATCACCTTGCTTTGGCAGTTCAGAAGTTTTGTTACAACATCAGCAGTGCTTCTGTACATTCCGCCTTGCACTCTGAAAGCTTTAGATCATGGTTCCATGGTATTTAGGGCAAAAGGGTGACTTCTTGGGAACCACATTTTCAACGTTAGGGCCAGCTTGCTGAAATATCATTCAGCAGTCTTTCTTTGCAGTCAAGTTGTTTTCCTGTTTGCCGGGATAGAGTTCATTTGAACAATAGCGTGGGTCCAAGTTCCATGTGTACATGACTAAATCCATGGATCAGGATAGGAAACGACCCACAATGTTTTGAGTGTCCATAGCTGTGCCGTATTTACTTCACACAAAAATCTGTGAAATGCATTTGCCCTTCTTGGCACCCTGTAAGGGCACTGAGGAACAACTGAAGGCAAGTCCAAGCTTTACTTCTCAGATTGGTCAAAAGAGGGCGCTGTTACAACAACACAGCACATGGAACTACTCTTGGACGGAGCCAGCTACATGTATGTCACTGAAATGCTGGTATTTGCAGTCAGTCTGGCTGTTCATATCTGACTAAATTACATATTGAATTAAAAAACCTCACAACTCGGTTTTTGGTTAACGCACCGGTAGAATACTTGTACATGTATTGCAAACTTACAGGAAATAACTCTGTAATGAAGGTTTACTTGAGTATGCTAAAAATGAAAGATTAGAATTGAAAAAAAGAATGAACTGAATGGATTCCATGCTCTTCCACATTCTTCGAGAGTTCTCCAAGACAACTAATTGCGGTCTCGGACAGAAGAACTTCTATTGTACTCAAGACATACTAAACTCCTTTTCTATTTGATTTCTGTTCATCTAACAGTGCATTCAGCACCAATAACGGGATGATTATGAGTGACAATGAAGACAATAGTTTCAGAGGAAGTAAGGAAAACAAACAAACAAACATTTGAGGGAAAACCAGTGGAATCTGACGGGCACTGAGAACCAAGTCCTCATGCCGACCTAGCTGGGATCTAAACCCAGGCCACAGAGGTGGAAGGCAAGGAAAGAACCACAACGCCAACCTGATTCCCCAAATACATGTATAGCTGTATTAGGATGAAAAACAAAATTCTGCGCTTGTGGGATAAGGACAGAATGTGAGGTTTCTGATCTGTCAAGGAGAATAAACTGACATTGTGGAGGTCAACCTATAATCCAATTTACTAAAAATAGCCAGTGCCTCAATATATGTGGATCATTTCAATGATTTCAAAATAATAAGAATAACAACAAGCATTTGTAAAGCGCCCTCTATCTAGCAAACTATTCTGAGGCACTGTATTATCATTATCCCTGCACAATGGGCTCACACATCATCTGAACATTCCTGAAACCATCTCAGATCACTGGGGAGTATACTAGCCTGATGCGGCCATTTTGGCGCAAACAACTAAACAACCGTGTCTGCCCTCACAGGTACGCATTTCACTCCTGGGTGGAGAGAGGCACATAGATAGGGTTAAAGCAGGGATGTGCAACTTAAGCTCAGAGCTGGTTCAGTGCGTGTTACGGCCGACACAATATCACAGCAGAAATTAAGTTGGATTATGTAACACTTTCTCTAAGAATAAAACATATATTCCTGTCTACAACTTTGTTTTCTTGTAATATTTTGAGTCAGGGTACACCCTTTCTAAAAATATGCTGCTCAAGATATTTCATCCTGTACATTCTGAGAAAAGTGTACCACAAAATTGGGGAATTTTGCCTCTCCTTGAAATCGATAAATGAAGAAGATTTATTCGTCAAAACGGACAGATTTAAGCACCGCGTCGGCGCGTCGTCTCGGCATAACCACAGCTGCACTGTACATGCTGCATGCTGCAACGCGTGTCATGTGGTTGTGAGTTTTTTCGAGAAAGTCGAGAGCACCTGCGGGGGTAATAACAATCCGTAACACGCATGGAACCAAGGTCGCACATGTGTTTACACTGGGGCCGCTCGAGGTTACTTATTCCTGGGTAAATGGTTCGTGGGTAAAGTGACTTGCCCAAGAGCACAGCATGTTGCCACCAGCTGGATTCGAACCCCCGATCCTATGATCAGAAGCTACAAACCCTAACCATTAGGCCACATGCCTCCTGGGCTGAAACACTCTGAAACAATTTGGGCATTAAACTAAGTGAGAATGCATGCTAGCACACACATCTCGTCAAGTTAATTTGATCACAAGGAAGGACGAGTTTACGTCTATTTTTTTTAATGACAAACTCAAAGTAAAATGATTGTATATAAGAATACTCCAAGCCACTGACAAGCTATTCTCTCTGCATTTAAATTTTTTATTTCTATAATGAAATGTTCAATTAAAAATGTATTTGTAAACCACCTTTTGTGCTCAATATTCACTCTAATTTGCCATTTTTATAATTGCAAACACATTCGCTTTTAAAAATTACTAACACTGTATTGTGGTATCTTCCATTTGATCTGTAGTATACAGTCCAACAATTCATCATCTATGTGATGTGGAGGGTTTCCTTTTTTATCCATAATTTGAATCTGAACAGGCCACCCAGTGTTGAGTTATTAAACCGTCTTTTAAAAGCAGCGATACTCTTGTTGATTTCCCCTGTTGATATCACAGGTTTAAGGCCGCCTCTCTCTCTTTTTAGCAATTTTTCGGAATATGCGAGACCGATGGGCAAGAGTCTAACATCAACTCGTCCAATCGCTAGGAGTTATAAGCGAGATGTAGGTTGTGCGTTTTGTCCGTGACGTCAGTCCAACGTAAGCTGAATCTTACCGCTTGCATGATAATACTCAACAATGACTGCAACGCCTAATGAGGATCCAAGAGTATCATCCCTTGCAGATAATTGAGACTCCATGAGTTGCAGTGGATGTGTCCGTGATGGGGGGGGGGGCAACGGGCCAATCATCACTTGTCCTATGAGGCCAGGGCGGTGCAACAGAATTGCCTCGAGGCGGTCGTCTGAGCAATTTGTATATATCTCTAGAAGATCCTTCCACTGTCTTCAAGGTATCGGAGGATTCCCACGGGTTTGGGGGAGAAATGGAAGTGGGACGGAGGTAGTCCATTTTTTGTTAACCCACATTGCCAGTGTTCGGTTGCGATGTGGATGAAAACACGAACCCAGGATTTACATGAACGCAGTTCAATGCAACAAGGTGGCCCTCATCCACCCGGTCCACAGAGGGCACTCTTTAGACGCAACGCAATCCAACCAGCTTTTACTCAAATGGACAACGACTCCTATGAAAAGAAATGAAAGTAGATACCTGATGCATTGGCTGGCTCCCTGGCACCTGGTTCTGATGAGCATGCCTAATTGCATTGAGTGATCTACAGATCTTCTGGGTCGTTCACATGTCATCCATTGCATCGTCAGCAGGGTCCCTCAGCTGCAAGAACGGCAGAGCCTTCATGTGGAACTCTGGGCACTCCACACCGAATGTTTCCACTGGTTATTAAGAATATATCACCAGATTAGACTTCAACATTCTTAAGCAAAGATATCTTTACAAACAATTTAAGGAATATTTGTGTGGTATTCAAAGGTTCCAGAAGCTAATAAGATATTGATTTAAAGCAAAGCCTCAGAATTATAAGGTCCTAGAACCAAAACAAAAACTTGCTGCTGGCAAATCAAGATGCTGGCATCTAACGTAGGGTATCAAAAGGTTCCAGAACCCAGACCCCTAAGAATATTTATGAGAAAATCTTGTGATATAACACTTTAATAAAACAGCAAGTCTTAAATAAACTAATTGTTATAACAGAAAAAATCTTACCTTCAAGTATTTTTTTCAAGGTCTTTTTTTTGGCCATGACCCACAAAATAAAAGCAATTACTGACTGAGTTCTAAGTCCAAATCATATCCATATTCTAACTTCTAACCTTACTGCACTTTGCATTCAAGAAATGGTGACTTTGTACAATAGCACGGCAAATTTCTTTCACAATGTTGCAAATTTCTCTCAAGACAAACTCCTCTGCATGTCTTCTGATGTCCCAAATTTCATGTTATAACAACAATGTAGATATCTTGTGCAAACTTGGGACTATACTTTCCAGCACTGCAATCTGCATATATGACGTCTTAAACCCCAAACAAATGATTCTGCAAATATTGTGATGGAAACTTGCAAATGATATGTCCTGTCAGGGCTGCCGTAACTTTAAATCTCATCTGGACATCCTCGGGAATCGTTTTCTTTCAAGGAATAGGCTACTTACTGGTTCGTAGGTTGACCATCCCAAAATGTCCCCTCATGAAGCCTTCCGAAGTGACAAAGGAGGTGCAGCTTGACCACGAATGGGATGTCCCCGGTTGGATAATGGGGAAATCACCTGGGTAGGGGAGTGGGCAGTGCGGTGGGAGGATATTACAAAGCAAACTCAGTAGTGACTGGTAACGTTGCTGTGCAGGCTAAATCACTGCTGGATACCAGTGAGTTGCAATAGTTTTAGCATTCAGTGGGTTGGATCATTCAAATCTGATCACGCTTACCGACCACGCCAGCTCCATCCACGGTTTCCACCTTGCCGTTGCTGTCTGCTATGACCCAGTGCCTGGTGCGAAGTTGACAGGACTCTGAAATTGAGATCGCAAACTATAACTTGTCATGCATGCCTGATGCATACAGTGACACTGATTGAAAATGTGCAAAGCAACTAAATGGTCTGGTGCCCGTGGGGGTCCTATCACAACACCCATGATAAAGAATGCAGCACAGGTCCCGTCACAGAACCCATCTTTGGCCCATCTCAGGGCCATCTCATGACCTGTAGCAGGACCCACTACCAGCCCTCATGTACAACCCACAAGAAGACTCACCGCAGGCCCTATTGCAGGATCCACCTCAGGCTCTACAGTTGGACCTATCATAGGGCGTACCACAGGTCCCAATGCAGGCCCTATTGCAGGATCCACCTCAGGCTCTACAGTTGGACCTATCATAGGGCGTACCACAGGTCCCAATGCAGGCCCTATTGCAGGATCCACCTCAGGCTCTACAGTTGGACCTATCATAGGGCGTACCACAGGTCCCAATGCAGGACCTACCAGGGGACCTTCCTCAGGTCCTTTTATAGGGTCCAACACAAGGCCCACTATGGAATCCACAATATAACTACGAGTCACACCCCATTATTATATACATGTACATACTGTCCCTGGGGCTGTTCTCGTCCATCGCCATGGTGATGTAATATGCAAACATCTTCCTCCCTGGCCTCAGTGGGTTCCCGCTCATCTCAGAGATAAAGGCTGTTGCCACAGAAACCTTGACATGTTCTGTCACTGCTACACAAGATGGTTCATGGTAGAACCTACGTAATTTTGGAAAACGTGATCTCTGTCAGTTTTGCCTCTTGAATAATTCTACCGTTCTTCATCTTGGCCAAGACTATCCATACAAATGTCCCAGGACACATCAAAATATTTAGCTTCTTTCAAGAGGTCTCAAGTCCTCAAAAGCTGGGCATCATGAGGGATTTTTCACCTCAAAAAGTGCTACAGACTTTAATTTTCCATCACATGAGATTATTCACCAAAGAATAAAGTTTGATATGAGATTTGTTCTCCAACAACCAACGCCTTAAATACTGCTGTAAATATGCTCAGTGCCTGCAGAGAGCTACAGACAGAAATGATGAGTTTACATTGATGGGAATCAACCCACGATCTCCTGATCACTGGCACCAACATTCCAGCAGCTTGGGTTTAATGGATTAACTTCAATGGATGGAATGATTAATCTGATACTTTGGCACAAAAGCTAATGTGAGCAACACCGAGACTAGTTCTCTGCACTGCAGTACGCAATGGTAGGAATAATTTTATGATGGAATGCAACATTCAATTTTGTCACCATAACGTATCATAACACGGTACAGCAGGGGCTGGACTTGAAATGCTTTCTGCTGATGTTAGGCCACGTGACAGCTACAGGGGTGTGTGTTGCAGAAGTGTTGCCGATCAGCTTGCTCAAGAGTGTCAGATGAGAAAACAAGACTTGGGGTAGGGGTTGACAAGCAGGTCACACGATGCACCCACCTGGACAAAGACGACTGGTGAAATATGGTCCCAGGGTCCAACAGTTTGTTGGCAAGCTGTGTTAGCCAGTCCGTGAAGCTTTCTGCTAACAGGAAGAAGCCTTCGTGAGGTAAGGCAAAAGTAGACTGAAAGAACAAAAAAGAGACAAAATAATAAAAATTGAGGTTTCTAACTCAGGAAAATTTCAGAGATCTACTGCAGTAATGGAGTATCCTATTCTTTTACAGTTTTGGGGGACACAATTTTAAAAGACTTTGGGACAGCATTTTGGAGAATATTTTAACAATTTGGGAGCATCAACTTTTAACATTTCATAAATACATGTCTTCCTATCCAGACTTAAGTACGATAGGACTCACTATGAACAAATCCATTGACTAGTAATTCTATCACTAGTCTATGGCATCGTGCTTGCTGCCATTAAAAGGGGCCTTTAGGAGTGTATGGCAACACACGGCTGGTTTTTCCTACAGCCAAACATTTGGAATGGATAACACAGGCGGGTGACAAGCACAGTGGTTGGACCAAAACTTGACTGCCACTTTTGTAGCTTGCCCGGTACCCTTGCCAAGAAGACACTGTGGACTTGCCAGTGGTTACGATAAGTAGCTCCCCATCACAGGGTTGGAGACTCAAATTCAGCTACTGGACATATGATCTGACCTCAGATAAGTCACTGCGCCTTAGCTTGACTCTCTCCACCCAGGGGCCAATTTCACAGAGCTGCTTAAGCACAAAATTTGCTTAAGCGCCAGAAAACCTTGCTTGATGAATCAGGAACCAGCCAAAACTCCATGTAATGTATATTTTGTTGGGATCTATTTAGCAGATTTTTTGGTTAGCATGGCAATCAGACAGAGTTTAAGCTGGTAACCTTTGTTTATTAAGCAAGGGTTTTACCACTTAAGCAAATTTCGTTCTTAACCACTACCAGCCAGGGACTCCGAAATCGGAGCCGTATGGTT